CCCCACTGTGGAAATTCCTCACAGTCCATCTTTCCCCTTAGGTGAGACCCTTCTCCCAGCTTTCCTTTGTTCCTGTTCCAAAGGTCTGTTGGTCACCGTCAGTTGGCAGACAAATTACTATCACGTTCTCCTTCAGAGATAGTTTATTTGCCTGCAATGTTTTCCTTCCCCACCATTTCCAGGGTATCTCCACGTTTCATATAGGAAATGGCCCACTGAAGTATTTTCCTAAACTAAAGAGAAGTCTTCTTGTCTCTGATGATTTTTTATTTTTTTGAGACGGAGTTTCGCTTTTGTTGTCCAGCCTGGAGGGCAATGGTGCAATCTTGGCTCACCACAACCTCTGCCTCCTGGGTTCAAGCGATTCTCCTGCCCCAGCCTCCCAAGTAGCTGGGAATTCTGGCATGTGCCACCACGCCCGGCTAATTTTGTATTTTTGGTAGAGATGGGATTTCTCCCTGTTGGTCAGGCTGGTCTCGAACTCCCAACCTCTGGTGATCCACCTAGCTCGGCCTCCCAAAGTGCTGGGATTACAGGCATGAACCACCATGCCCAGCCTCTGAAGATGTTTTATGACAACAACCACAGTCCTTTTTTTGTACGCTTTTAATTTTAGAAATTAATGTGATTTATATTGGTGCAGACGATTCACAATTACAAAGATATCAAACCAACCTAAGTGCCCATCAACTGATGAGTGGATAAAGAAAATGTGGTGTATATACACCAGGGAATACTACTCAGCCGTTAAAAGAACAATATAATGTCTATTGAAGCAACTTGAATAGAGCTGGAGGCCATTATTCTAAGTGAAATAACTCAGGAATGGAAAAACCAAATATCATATGTTCTCACTTATGGGGGGAGCTAAGCTATGTGTACACAGGGCACACAGAGTGTTATATTGGACGGTGGAGACTCAGGGGAAGGAAGGGGGAGGGGGTGAGGGTTTAAAAGTACATATTGGGTACAATGTACACTGCTTTGGTGAGGAGTGCTGAAGTCTCAGATTTCAGTGCACCAGTCCCTTGAGGAGTATACGTTGCGCCCAGTAGTAGATGAATTCTATATAATTCATCTATGTAACCAAAACCCATGAGTACCCTGGTACCCCTAAAGCCATAGAAAAAAAGAATAAAATAAATAAATAAATAAATACATGGGTGTAGAGTTATAAACCATATGAATGTTCCTTAATTTTAAAATTTCCTTTTGCTGAACATTTCACATGTTTCTAATTTTTTGATATTATAACTACTGTAATAATGAACACCTCTATGTGTACATTTGTGTTCACTTATCTGATTTTTTTTCCAGTGTGTTGAATCATGCAAGTTAACTTTCTGGATTAAAGATTACGCCTGTTGTTAAGGCTTTTGAAATATATTGTTGCCAAAGTGCCCTCCAGAAAAGTTGTACTGATTTAGTTTTATCCTCTGTCATGGTGTATCTTTCTTAGTATATTTTTTCAACAGTTTGCACATTTTTACACCTTGTAAAATATATCACACATACAAAAGTTTATGTGACATATACATACATTTTAAAAGACTAAACAAAAATAAAAAAACACCATGTTCTCATATCTCAGCTGTAATGAACTGAAGCATTGCCAGTATCTTTGAACCTGTCCAAGGAGTGACTGCCTCCTTCTGGTTTGTCCAGAACTGTTCTGGTTTTAGCACTGAATGTCCCAGATCCTAGTTAACCATTTACTCTGAGGAAGCCTGGACAGCTGATCACTGCATCCCTATGTGCTTGTCTCCAAATCTACCTCCTCCCTCCTCCAACGGTATCCTGTATGGACTTCTAAATAACGTACTCTGAGGTTTTTTCCTACATAAATGGAATCACATGGTATGTTCCTTTTGTGAGTTGCTTCCGGCCAGCATTGTTTTTGAGCTTCATCCTGTTGATGTCTATAGCCGCAGTTCATATGGTTTTTCTGTTGACTGCCATCCATTTGATAAATACGTCACGTTTCTCCATCTTCTGTCAATAAACATTGCAACTTTTGTTACTGTAAGCTGCGTGGCTCTGAACAGTCTTATCTGTCTCCTGGAGCAAAGGTCCAAGAGTTTCTCTAGGTTATTTACATAAGCGTTAAATTACTAGAGGACTTACATAACCTCACCAGAAGTGCCAAATTGTTTTCTAAAGAAGTTGTGCCTATTTCCATCCACTAGCAGTGCATGAAAATACCTGTTTGCCACACCCTCATGAAGCAGTGTCTGACTTTGTAACTGTAGCCATTGTGGTTGCTATGAAATGGTATTTCATTGTGGGTTTAATTTACATCTTCATGATCACCAGTGAGATTGAACCTGTTTTCAGAGGTTGATTGGCAATTTCTGTTTCCTCTTCTGTGAAAGGCCTGCCCACATTGTTTGCTCATTTTTCTATTGGGCCACTTGTCTTTTTCTTACAGATTTGTGGGCCCACTATTTTTTGTTTTTATCAAGGTAAAATCAGGTTAAATTGCTTTCAGAATCAGGCTGAAGGGATGAAAATTCAGAGGACGACATCTATCTAAGGGATGGACACATCAAAAGACAGAATGAACACACTTGTTACACAGTCCCTTAAGCCTTCTTTATCTGCAGCTGGCTAACATTTTATGCTTTAAGAAATGAAACCAACTAACATTATCTTCTGCTCCAGTGGTTCTCAGCAGCATCCACATCATCTGTAAACTCATTAAAATGAAAATTACTGGACCCCACCAACAGCCTACTGAATTGGGAACTCTGGAAAGAAGACCCCGCAATCTCCTTCAACATCCCTGCAGTGATTTGTACGCACGCCAAGTTCGGGAGCCACTGTTCTGCCCTGTCACCTTGTCCCACCTGGTGGGTAGGGAACTGACCATGACCTACCATTCTACAATCGTCACCCTTCCACCTACAAATATACATTACAGAGTGTTTTTTAAGAAAAGGACAGATATTTGGGGCCCCAAGAATGGGATTTTTGGTGACCCAGCTCAGATTGCAGGGCACTTCAGTTTACGGACTACTTATCCTGTCAGTATTCTAATGTCAAAACCCGAACCTAACCAGACTATTCTGTCTGCCTGAAGGAGGCATTAAACAAGAAAAGGCAAAAAGATGGGACGTCCTGCCTGCATGGGGTGATGTTTTCAGGGATGGTGTTGTCCATGTTGTTTTCTTGGGGTCTGTGGGTTGAGATAGTTTCTCTGCTTTTGGTCCAGGAGAGCGTTCCTTGTCATCTCCCACTCTGGCAAGCCTGGGGCAGCTTCCTCTGAGGCTCTTCCCAACCAGGCACTACTGAGCCGGTGCCAGTAATGAGCAGTGACCAGAAGTCTGCCATTTGCTCCAGGGCCTGTGTCTTCAGCACTTAGGTTGCCCTTCTCTGGATTCCTTCTCTTTGAAACCACCCAGGACAGCTGCATCTCAGGTGACTCTCTTCGCTCACTGAGGGGCAGAGTCAGCCACAATCTTTATTTTGTTTTATGATTATTTTTTGAGACAAGATCTTGCTCTGTCACTCAGGCTAGAGTGAAGTGGTTCGATCATGGTTCACGTAGCCTTGAACTCCTGGGCTCAAGCAATCCTCCTGCCTTAGCCTCCCCAGTATCTGGGACTACAGGAGTGTGCCACCACACCAGGCCAATTATTTTTATGTTTTTACATGTTTTGGTAGAGACAGGGTCTCACTCTGTCACCCAGGCTGGAGTGCAGTGGCATAATCAAACCTCACTGCAGCCTCAAACTCTTGGGCTCAAGCTATCCTCCCACCTCAGCCTCCCACCTGGCTGGCACTACAGTTACATACCACCATGCCTGGCTAATTGTTTTTGTTTGTTTGTTTTAGAGACGAGCATCTCGCTATGTTGCCTGGGCTGGCCTTAAACTCCTGCCCTCAAGTGATCCTCCTGCTTTACCCTCCCAAAGTTCTGGGATTACAGGTATGAGCCACCGCGCCCAGCCCACGCTGTATTTTAAAGAGCCTTGACTGTGCCTGGTTAGCATCACTTCTAACACAGCCACACGAGTCTGTCTGGCTGCCAAGCTGAGAAACTTCTTGGATTTGCAGGAAAGTGACTTCAAGCATGCTGGCTGATGGGGAGGCCTTCCTCATCTGCGCACACCGAGGTGCGGTGGAGGGATTGAGTGGTGTTTATGGAGATGTGAAAGTCAGGAACTGTTTTGACACCTATTCTTAGCACTTTCTGGAGTCTCTTTTGAAACTTAAAATGACCCCTCTCAGCACTTTCTGGAGTCTCTTTTGAAACTTAAAATGACCCCTCTCTCTTAACTGTTTCCTGCACACACGGCAGCTCTCAGCCTCAGCAGCCATTCGTGTACCTCCCCCATGTCTCCAGCTAGTTGGACCAGGAATTTACCCTGACCCAAGTTAGGCCTCTCGGCAGCCCTGCCCCAGGAGTCTGGACTGAGGCAGCTGGCCCAGGTCAGCGTGGCAGCCTGCGGCGGTGGCCGTGTTTCTCGTCCTGTGGACTGGAGCAGTGGAGGGTATGTGGGATCAGTAGAGTGAGAGAAAACGAATAGCTATCGGAGAAGCAGGGAGTCTTGACAACTTTCCAGTTCCTTCCTGAAGCCCAGCTCTATAATTATATTTTGGGTCCTGTGAGGAGAGATACTCCTGCACCATTTTAATACATTTTTGAAGATGCTAGATCAAACTGTATTCTGTTATTTAAAACCCAAAGAGGCCTAATGCACACAGGAGTAATCGCTAAGAAAAACTGTTGAGTAGAGTTAGATCTTATGAAGCACTGGAACTGCAAAGGGGCTTCCCCACCACACCCGCTTTCTCCCCCAGAGGCTGCATCCACCGTGCTGAGTGGCCACGTCGTTTAATACTGTGCCCATCAGCAGAGGGACCCAGTTGCCACTTGATTTAGTAATGCATTTCCTTTCCTTACCACAGTAGCCCAACACATTTGAGGAAAAAGAATCATGAAAATTTTGTTTTTTCCACTCCCCCGACCCCCCGCCTTTGAAATCACCACCACAGCTGCTAACAGAAGCGCCTTTATGTAGAATGTGTTTTGTCCTTTTGGAGAAGACAAAGAATTGTTGAAAAAGCAGACAGCTGCTTGTACTGGCAGGAGAATGAGAAGAGCTTTTCAGCATGCACTCTTCCACCCTTCCTCAGCTGAATCACCACCGTCTTCCTCTTTACCTCATTTTGCTCTCTCTTTCCCTGGTCCAGGAACATAGACGACATCACCCTATGCTTTTGCCTCCAACTCTGGGAAAACAGAACAGTCTAATCCCTCTTTCTCTGGTTAAACCTGCATAAGTCTCAACTCTAATACTTTAAGCAAGTCTGACAGTTGATAAACTTCACCTTGACTCATAATCATCCTCTCAGTCTCTCTCCTTCACAAACTCACAGATCACTCAATGTTCCAAGATTCATGTAAAAAGAAGTCTTTTGTTCTAATCACTGAGAACTTCCGGAGAAAAGAAGAAAGGTGAGTATGAAAGTTTCTAGTTATTTTCCTGTATCTCTGGGAAAATCCATAGCAGATTTGTATGCTGAATTTGTAGCTTCTAAATTGTGTGCGTGTTTTCTGTTTTTTTTTTTTTTTTTTTTTTAAATTTTTTTGACAGGGTCTTGCTTTGTCACCCAGGCTGGAGTGCAATGGTACGATCATGGCTCATGGCAGCCTCAACCTCTCAAGCTCAAGTGATCCTCCTGCCTCAGCCTTCCAAAGTGCTGGGATTATAGGCATGAGCCACCACACCCAGCCTGAAGTATGGGATCTTGGGCAAGTTATTTAATGTTTTTAAAGGTTCCCTTTCTTCACTTGCAAACTGGGGTAAAGATAGTGTTTATCTCATGGGAATGCTGTGAAGATTAAATGAGATAGGGCAATGGGTCTCAAACTTGACTGTACATTAGAATCACCATAGAAGTCTCGAAAGTCCAACTGCCAGGGAGCACCCAGACCAGTTAAAGAAAAATTTCAGGTGCGGGAGTCAGCCATTAATATTTTAAAAATCTCTGTGGATCGTTCCAATGTTCAGCTATATATGAGAGAGAGTGAGATGATACTAATAATAAGCGCTCAATGAGTAGTTGTATCTTTTATTAATATAATTAAAAATTGAGTGAGAGTCTCCCAAATTTGATAGACTGCTGAAATTGAGGGCTTACAGGGATCCAGATTCATTTCTTCTTAAATTCATCTATCCAACAATGACTGAGCATTTACTGTGTGCTAGGATCTGTGCCGAATTTCCTCTCTCTAACTGATAGTAAAAAGATCATACTGCCTTCAAGATGAAATTCAAGTTCTTTAGGATGACCTGTCCTCCCCATCCCTTCACACCCTATTGGCTGTCAGTGCCATGGCCTATATGCTGGTAAGTTCCAGCTGCTCTAAACTATAGGGTCGTTCCAGGCCCTCCTGTCCCTGTGCCTGTCCTCATGCTCTTCCCTGCGTGTAAGATGCCCTTCCCACACATCTCCCTTGCTTTTCCACCTAGCCTCTCTCATAGGATGGAACTCCTGATATGGAACCTTAAGAAAAGATGGGTGCCACTATGGTTTGAATGTATCCCCCAAGTTTCATGTGTTGGAAATTTAATTTCCAAAGTCATATGTCGATGGCATTTGGAGATGGGGCCTTTGGGAGGTAATTAGGGTTAGAGAAGGTCATCAGGGTGGGGCTCCCATGATGGGACTGTTGGCTTTATAAGAAGATGAAGAAAGACCTGAGTTGGCACGCTCTTGCCCTCTTGCTGTGTGTTGGCCTCTGCCACATTATGATGTAGAAAGAAGGCCTTCACCAGATGCAGCCCCTTGACCTTGGACTTCCCAGCCTCCAGAACTGTAAGAAATACCTTTCTTTTATTTATACATTACCCAGTCTGTGGTATTTTGTTCTAGCAACAGAAAATGAACTCAGACAGGTGCCCAGCACTGCCTGGCCGTCTCCACCCATCCTCTCAGATGAATGAGCTGGCCACTGTCCTATCAGTCTCAGGACATTTTGAGCATCCTGCAGTGGATGAGTGATTAGTTATCAGGTTGTTCTTTCTGCAGATGGGCTGGGCAACTCTCTCTTTCTCTGTTTTCCCTCAGGCCTCACTCTGGTGGAAGACTGCTCATGCTCAAGCAGGCTTCCTTTCCTTCATCTTGCTTACGAGGCTCTAGTGTTCCAGGACCCCGTGGAGCTATTCCCCAGGGCCCCTCAAAGGGAGAGAACCCTTCCTCTTGAACCATTCAGAGGAGCAGGGCAGCTCAGAGTCATTACTTGGAACAGCTGGAGAAGCTAGAGGCTGGATCTTCTGTGGCCACCACATGAAATCCCATGAGGTTGGCAGCCTTGGGGGAATAACATGACTTTATGACCATGGGAATAACATGACTGAAGACTGTTTTGTTATCTCAGAGGAGAAACACCTCTAACAGCTCTGTACTGCAGCCACCTAATGGGTGAGGGGCTGTGGTGGCTGCCACAACTGTGGCAAATTCTGCTGAAGTAAAGACTTCCATCAGGAATCTTCTCACCCCTTCCTGGCTTTGAGCTGACCTCCAAAGTGGCCCTGCTGAGAAGGTTCTAGTCCTTTCTCTCCATCTCCAGCTCCGTCAGGAGGTGCCCCCAGTGTGTAGATTTGTATGTCCTCTTATTGAGCCTTCAGAGCTCTTTCTGTAGGGGCTGGCTAGGAAGACTTTACTCGATGTTCCCAGTACACACCCACAATTACGCCCACCCATGATTCTGGCGCTTCCAACACCACTGGGTGAAGTCATCAACTTTTCAGCCGGGCACAGGGTGATGCCTGCCTTCTGGCTTGGTGAGAGCATCCATCCTTCAAGGTTCATATTCTATCATTGGCATTGGGGAAGGGGAAAGGAACTACTATTTGAATTGTTACATGTTACGTCACTTAAACTTTTGCCAAAAAAACCCCAAAAAACAAAACAAAAACAAACAAAAAACAACAAACCGTTATATAGTGGATAATTAGCCCCATCTTTCAAAAAAGGAAAGAGATTCTTCCCAAGATGACATGGTTGGAAGGCCAGTTAGATCTTGCTGTGTTCCAAACAATCCCCAAATTTGTGGCTTAAAACAACAACCAGTTATTTAGCTCACAGTTTTAGAGATTGTCTGGTTGTCAGCTGGATTGTTAGGAGTAGGGCACAACTGGCCACGTGGTTGCTCTCATGCTCCTACAGGCTAGCCTGGGCTTGTTCACATGGCAGATTGGAAGGATTCCAAGAGGAAGAGTGGACAGGTGCAAGGCCTCCTGATGCCTAGGCTTGGAACTGGCACTGCACCACTTCTACCATAATCTGTTGGCCAAAGCAAGTCATGAGGCCTGCCCAGATGCAAGGGAAGGTCAAACAAACTCCACAGCTAGATGGAAAGAACTGCAAAGTCATATTGCAAAGGGGAGCACAGACAGATAGGGGTGAGAATTGGGTCTGCTTTTGCAATCAACCACAGTTGTTAAGTGGCAGAAGTAGGATTTTATTTTTCAATTTTGAAAATAGCATATGCACATGAGAAAAATTCAAATGGTATACAAAAGGGAAAATAAGGATGAGAAAGTCTCATTTTTACTCTTGGGATAGGAAAACACATTCTAAGTCCTACTCTCCACATATAAACACCATTAAGAGTTTTGTGTGTATTTTGATACAATTATTTTGTACATATACATAAATGGGGGTCCAATACACCCACGATGCTATAACTCACTCTTTTCACTTAACAGTATAGCTAAGAGCTCTTTCCGTAGCAGCACAAACAGAATTACTCTGTTCCTTTAAATATCCATATAGCAGTCAACTGAATAAAGGTACCATGTTGTATGCAACTACTTTCCCTCCTGGTGGACACACAGGTTGTTTCCAGTTTTTGTTGTGAAAATGCCAGAGTGAACCACCTCTAATGTTCTCTGTATACTTGTAGATTGGATTCCTAGAAGTGGAATTTCTAGGTCCAACATCATATTCAAGCCTTGATCTGTTCTCAGAGCACATGCTCTTTCTAAGAGGGGTCTCTGGTTAACAAGTGTTTGTCCAGCTTTTTCTTATTTATTTATTTATTTATTTTTTCAGACAGAATCTTGCTCTTGTCACCCAGGCTGGAGTGCATTGGCGCGATCTCAGCTCACTGCAACCTCTGCCTCCTGGGTTCAAGTGATTCTACTGCCTCAGCACCCCAAGTAGCTGGGATTACAGGTGTCCACCACCATGCCTGGCTAATTTTTTGTATTTTTAGTAGAGACAAGGTTTCACCATGTTGGCTAGGCTGGTCTCGAACTCCTGACCTCAGGTGATCCACCCACCTCGGTCTCCCAAAGTGCTGGGATTACAGGCGTGAACCACCGCACCTGGCCAAAACAAAATTTTTTTTGAGATAGTATTTGGCTATGTTGCCCAGGCTAGTTTTGAACTCCCAAGCTCAGGCGATCCTCCTGCCTCAGCCTCCCAAGTAGCTGATATTACAGATGCAAACCACTGTACCTGGCTCCTAGAAGCTATGTTAGAAACCATGGACCACTCTGCCTATATGCACACATGTGACACATGCATATCATCTCTCCAGACCTGTTCCTTCCCGGGCAGGCTTGGGAGTCTAGAGCCACGCATTATTGAGTCCTTCCAAGAAGATCCAGATTTGTTGTCTTTTCTACTTCTTGCTTTATGATATTTTTTTTGAGACACATACTACTTTATTACAGGCCAATGAGAAAAGAATCCTAGTAACAAAATATTAACATACAGATGATGGGTTGCATCCAAGTGAAGCCCTAATGTATAAATGAGCAAGGATTTCATAAGCTGTGCAAATAGAGATAAGTGTAGGAGAATTAAGTGCATCATCACACAGCAAATAATAGTATAGGCCTGTTGTCACATCGAGGAGTTCTATTACATGAATTCATCCTTGTACACAGCAACTTTAACAGTTCATGAACATTAAGTATGGTAGCAAATATGCAGTGAAGACATTTCTTAAAACTGTATTTTTTTTTTTTTGTCCGGGTGTGGTAGCTCATGCCTGTAATCCCAGCATTTTGGGAGGCCTAGGCGGAAGGATTGCTTGAGCCCAGGAGTTTCAGACCAGCCTGGGCAACATAGGGAGACCCCATCTCTATTAAAAAAAAAAGAATTAGCCAGGCTTGGTGGTGCATGCCTGTGGTGCCAGCTACTTGATGGGCTGAGGTGGGAGAATCAGTTGTGTCCGAGAGGTCAGTTGCAATGAGCCATGATCGTGCCACTACACTCCAGCCTAGGTGACAGAATAAGACCCTGTCTCAGAAACAACAAAAACATATTTTTAAATCTTTAATATTATTTTTGCAGTTCTTCAGGGATCTGATGCCTACATGCTACCTTCCTGGGTGCCATTGGAGCTCTGAAGTTTTACCAGGTTATGTATGGACTTAGCTCTATTGTGAACAGCAGGTTGGTGACATCAGAATCTGGAGGTAGCATGCAAGCACACCCAGATACCTCACTCTATTTCTCACAGCCCTCACTTAGGTCCCTGAGTAGATGAAGCCAATAATTCTGCAGAAGGGAACAAACAGCAGGAGGCCCATTTCTGTCATATGAGCAGCCTGCACTTAGGGCTGTTCAGCGGATAGGTTACAAGGGTAGAGTTCCAGATAATGCAGTTTCAAAAAAGTAATTACTTATTGTTTGAGTTCTTTAGAGAAGTACAGGCATGTGCCTCAGACTTCAAAGCAGGAGGTGCCCAGTCTTCCACCTGTTTCTTAATAACGCAGATATTGCTGTTGCGAAAAAGGCAGAGTTCTGGAATATTCCTACTGTTATAGCTCAAGGAAGAATATATTATCCCATGGTACACTGAAGAGGGATGAACTCACAGGCTAATCATTGACCAGTCACATTAAGGTGTTCATTTCTTCTTAGTTCCCCTTTCTGACAGAAGTGCCTGGGACGAAAGTCAAGAGACCTGGTGCCTGATTCTTCAGCCCAAGCCAGTAAGCAGGACACAGCGGAGCACTCGTGGCCTCGTCAGAAGAGTATTCATGCCGAATGAGCTCCGAGGAGTGCTGGAGGAATTACTCTGTGATTGCTTGCCAGCTTCCCCCTGTACTGGGATCTGAGAGGAGGCAAGATAAGCCTCCCTGTAAAATCCTCACACCTGCTTAGACTCTGCCTCATGCTGGCTACGCTGCCACTTTCCCCATCTTTCCCCCACACTAGACAACATTAATCCATGATGATAGCTATTCCAGCAGAGCCAGAATCTGGTGTCAGAGTCTTTTTCAAGATAGCTCTGTAGGCAGCCACTTTGGATCATCCAGTCAGCATGAGAGCGGAGACTTGTTTGCAGTCCTGCTTCCGAGTGAATTTGTGTAAAAGTAATTCTAAAATCAATGTCCAGAGAATAGGGTTAAGAGGACATTGGGGAAGGAACGGGCAGAGTCAGGGCTACTGGAGAACATAGCTATTACTTAGGTGGGGCTGCCTCATGGCAGCCCAGGTATAACATGCCAGCCTTCAGATAGGCATGGTGATCTCTTCCCATTGTATTTCCCCACTGTGTGTGTGTGTGTGTGTGACTGTGTATCCAAGACCCAAGATAAATGGCTGGAGCTGTGGGTTCAGTTTGCAACCACGGAGCAAGAGGGATCTCCCTGATGGAGATCAAACTGATGTCCTTGATTGCCCTAGTGTGGTTTTCAACCAGCTAAGCTAGCTTGTGACCAGCAGAGAAAAATAAGGGCTCATTGTTCAAAGTGTGGTCTGTGGCCAGCTTGTTGGCCTCCTCTGGGAATGCGTTAGAAATGCAGAATCTCAAGCCTCGTTCCAGAGCTACTGAAATAGTGATTCAGAGGCCACGTGTGGTGGCTCACACCTGTAATTCTAGCACTTTGGGAGGCCGAGGTAGGAGGATTGCTTGAGGGCAGGAATATGAGACCAACCTGGGCAACATTTCAAGATCCCATCTCTTTAAAAAGCCAGGCACGGTGGTTGATATGGTTAGGCTTTGTGTCCCCACCTAAATCTCATCTTGAATTATAATCCCCATAATCCCCACGTGTTAAGGGAGAGACCAGGTGGAGGTAATTGAATCATGGAAGCAGTTTCCCCCATGCTGTTCTTGTGCTAGTGAGTGAGTGCTCACAAGATCTGATGGTTTTATAAGGGGCTCTTCCCCCTTTGCTTGGCATTTCTCCTTCCTGCCACCTTGTGAAGGTGGGTGCCTTGCTTTTCTCTTTGCCTTCCACCATGATTGTAAGTTTCCTGAGGCCTGCTCAGCCACGCTGAACTGTGAGTCAATTAAACCTCTTTCCTTTATAAATTACCCAGTCTCGGGCAGTTCTTCATAGCGCTATGAAAACAGACTAATACAGTGGTGCACGCCTGTAGTCTTAGCTACTGGAGAAGTTGAGGTGGGAGGATCGCTTGAGCCTAAGAGTCGGAGGCTGCAGTGAGCTCTGATTGCACTGCTGTATTCCAACCTGGGTGATGGAGTGAGACCTTGTCTCTTAAAAAAGATTCAAAATTTATATCATTTTAACAAATCATGCAGGTGATTAATATGCACGTGAAAGTTTGAGAAGCACTGGCTTAGAAAAGTCACCATGTAGCGCAGTAACTTCAAACTGATTAGTATTTTAAGGGTCTACTATGTGCCCAGAAATGTGCTGGACTTTGATAGATATCAATGAGGTATGTGACAGGCTCTGTCTCTGAAAGTAGCTTGGTGAGTGTAAAGGCACCATGCGGAGCACAGACTGGAAAGAGAACCCTGTTTTTGTTTTGTGCTGCTTTTTATTTTCCTTTTTTCCTCTGCTGTTCTTTTATCCTTATAGTGATTACTTAAAAAAAAATATTTTTTATGTTGTCCTGCGTTGCATAGGCCCTAATACCCAAATTTCAGAATTTCTCCCAATTCTTTTGGTGGCTTTGGGGGCTTGTTTCAGTCCTTCCACTCCCCATCCTCACCATCTGCTTCTCCACCACCTTTCTGCTGGCCCAAGGTTTGAACCAAGCCCCTGCTTTTGCAGAGCACATTGATAGGGCATTTTCCCCCCTCAGCTATTGCTGATTTGCTTATTCTATTGAAAAGGGCTCAGAATCTTAGGCAATTCATACGGCTTGCAGTGGAATTGCAGAGTGGAACCTGCTTACTAATGAGAGACAGTCTTATTCAATAGATCCTTAATTGGGGGTCCTTCACCTGTTCTGGGATCTATTAAACAGCCCCTTGGGCTGGGTTTCCCATCTACGTGGGTGCTGAATGGCCAAGGGACAGATGCCAACTGTTTTAACTAGATGACATACGCTATTATCTGTCTTCCCCATCTTCAGCAGGTTTGCCACTCTGGACTGCCATCTCGGGAGACTGCACTGCTCTGTCCAGCACCAAGTAATGCAAGATCAGTTATCCCTACTAAGTTCATTTCTATGGGTCAGTTTCAATGGTGTAACTGTCTGATCTGTCCTCTTAACACATAGAACCGCGATTAGGAGAAACAAGACGGGGTGTCTCTACAGTCAAGTGGGTGAAAGATGGGCTGCTGAAGTGGGTTCTATTTGCCTTTTCTGTCCTTTTTCAGGCCATTAGCTGGTGGTACAGGGCACCTCACACTGCCATCCTTGGCTTCTGCCAACATTCAGGAAGACGGGCCTCTTTAAATCTGAGTCTGTGAATTAAATGCGTTTTCTTAACTCGGACACTGTTAAGAATCTGTCAGCATTTCCATTAAGAAAAGATTAATGAATAAGATGACAAATTGCTAACTATACCAATGCTCTTGTGTGTTTATTTTTTCCCCTGAGGATTATTTTGGGTGAAGATTTCCACTCTTGTGGCATTGGCACACAAAACTATATGATCCTCCGCTCTGCAATAGAATAGTCACTAACCTGATGTGACTACTTTAATTGAAAATAAGTGAAAGATTTAGTTTCTCAGTTACACCACATCTGCAACCTTCCTTTATTCCTTTCTTTTTCTTTTTGAAACGGGATCTTGCTCTGTCACTCAGGCTGGAGTGCAGTGGTATCATAGCTCACTGCAGCTTCAAACTCCTGGGCTCAGGTGATCCTCTTGCCTCAGCCTCCTGAGTAAATGGGACTACAGGTATGCACTACCACACCTGGTGAATTTAAACTTTTTTTTTTTTTTTTTGGAGACAGAGTCTCACTCTGTCAACCAGGCTGGAGTGCAGTGTTGTGATCTCGGCTCATTATAACCTCCGTCTCCCAGGCTCAAGCGATCCTCCCAACTCAGCTGCTCCGGTAGTTGGGACTATGGGCGTGCACCACCCTACCCAGCTATTTTTCTTTTTTTTTTTGTATTTTGTAGAGATAGGTTTTCACCATGTTTCCCAGGCTGATCTTGAACACCTGAGCTCGAGATCCACCCATCTTGGCCTCCCAAAGTACTGAGATTATAAGCATGAGCCACCACACCTGGCCAATTTTTTTTTTTTTTGGTGACAAGTTTTCAATATGTTGCCCAGGCTGGTCTCAAATCCCTGGCCTCAAGCAATTCTCTCACCTCAGACTCCCAAACTGTTGGAATTACAGATGTGAGCCACAGCACCTGGTCACCTGCAACATTTCAAGTGTTCAATAGTCACGTGTGGCTGGTGGCTACAGATAAAGGACATTTCTATCACAGTTCTTTTAGACAGTGCTAAGAGTGGCCCAGTAGAATTTAGAAGAAAGAAATGGTCGTCTTTGTCACATGGGCCTTGGTCCTAATCTCATTTCTTCTAAGTAGTGAGATGACTTTGGGCAAGCCATTTGACTTCCCTAAGGGCTCAGTTCCTGCTTCTTTTAATGGGGTAATTCTACTTGCATAACAGGGTCCTTCTGAGAGCTCTAGCATCAGTGCTCAATTGGCAATAACCTCCTTTGTCCTGCACCTCCTGCCAAACAACCTATTTCTCTTAATCCCTAGATCACCTGTATTACTAGGAGCTCATTCTGAGCTTGAAGACCTGGCCAGGAGCAGAGGGAATTGCCTTTCCCTCAATGGTAGAAAGGGAAATTCGTGATATCCTGAGATGCTAAGATGGTGATTCCTGCCTAGGCAGGGAGAGGATAGGCTTTGCTTCTTCTGCACACCTTGCTTTTAGCTCAACTCATTTCTTCTCTGTCATTGCCTGAAATGAGTGTGTTGAAATCAGTAATATTTGGAGTTTCCAATGAATAATTGTTACATAAATCATTAGTTCTTAAATTTTACTGGACATCAGAATCACCTGGAGGGTTTGTCAAAGCACGGATTTCTGGGCTCCTCCCCCAGAGTTTCAGGGTCCCCAGGTCTGATGTGGGGCCTGGGAATTTGCGTATGCATTCCCAGATGCTGCTGCTGCTGGTGGTGGTCTGTAGTGCACCCGAATCATGGGAGCTGGAGCATTTTTATAAGCAAAGATTAAATTGTCTGTATCCTTGCTTTACACGGAGGATACCCAGCATGTTCTTGAGGGTATGAGAGTTCTTTATAACATTGTTATAATTGTGACTTCATTGTCAAAATAGAATAGATTCGCACTGATTGTAGATTATAGATGATCATCTTGTTTCTTTCATTTTTTTTTTTCCTTTTTACAAACCCTTGTGTCAAGAAGGGCTGACTTACAATAGAGGACAACGAGGGAGCTGCTCCGCTACATCCAAAATTCCCAGCCAGAAGCAGGTGGTCTACCAGTGGTTTACCACCAGGTTCCCCACAAAACTGGCAGTGCATGAATGGCATAGATGACGGTCTCCAAGCCAACTGCAGCATGTAGATTTTAGTGCCTGCTTTTGCATTTGTATGTACAATCACATTATTACCAAGCGATTTCCAAAACTGGCAACATTTAACTTTTGACCTAGTGTTTCTCAAATTGTCTCTTCCCTTTCCGGTGATACCACGGCTGTAGCTGGACCCCTGGGCCTTCCCTATCCCTGTTCCTGTTTTGTTACTCCCAGGCTACTTGGTGGGAAAGAGAGACATCTCATTTTCAGGGCATTTTTGGTGGGTGAGCGTCGTAATCTACAGTTTTGCCTGTAGAGGGCAGCAGCACCAAGAACTTCCTAGCTGCATTTTCAATGTCAAATGGGTATCAGCCTGGTGTCTCTGTTCCTTCCGTCCCTCTTCTCACCTTGCTCTTCTTCCTGGCAGTCACATCTAAAAGATATTTTCAAAGTACCCCCGTTGCCTCGGCAACTGGTGCCCCCGAAGGCGGCCTGGGGTGTAGCAGCGGTGTTGCTGGATGCCCACCTGCTTTCAGTGTGGCTGGGAGGGGACTGCCCCCGCCCCACAGCCTGGCCACCTGGCAATGCCCAGTGACTCTGGGAGGTGGCTGTCTGGGAAGCCTGTGCTCGCTGCCGACTTCTGGGGCTTTGCTCGCACATATCCTCTTTTGCTTTCTTGTCCCCAAAATGCCTCTTCCCAGAAAGAATCTGAGTCAGTCTCTCGTCATTAGATTAGTTCCTGCCAAAATACGGCAGATGTCAAAGCAGCTGATAGGAAGATTATGATTCTCCCTCTCCCAACCCCAACAGGGAAAGCAGAGTAAAGAACCCAAGGGAGAAGTTTGTTGGGCAAAGTTCCGATGAGGAGGGGAGATGGTTCTATATTTTGGCAGCTCGGTAACCATATTCCCATCCCCTCTGCCCCATTCAGCATGGAGATGCAGGAAGGAGTCCCACTTAACTTCCTGTCTGAACAGCCCAGGATCTTTGGATTTAATGTTGCCTTAAAACAAGAACAGTTTCCTGTCTTTCAATAGACACCCCTTGGCTTGGCCCACATGCTTGTGGAAGTAATGGATTTTTGGAAGAGGATTTTTCCTGGTCTAATGCTGTCTTTCCTACATGAACTCATACTCTCACTTGCGCACACATGTTTCAACTTATCTTCTGTCAGACAGCACCTGCTCTCTCACCAGTGAGTGATAACTGC